GATTATAGTATGTTATAGGATATTATAGTATGGTATAGGATATCATAGTATATCCGTAAGAGTTTGCAGATTACACAATTTAGCTCCCGTGGCTCCCATTTGATCCTGTCCGGACCTATCATCATCGTCATCATCACGAGCCCTTTGACCAATCTAGTGTAGCTCTGCGCTTGCACAAGCACTTGACGTGCAGTGCATTCAGCGTTTGTTTCGTCATGAAGCTTCCTGGTTGTCCTGCATGGATTGCCATGCTATACCCGCACCCCAACAGCCTTGGAGACGCCATCTTCCTGATGTCTTCACCTTTGGCATCTGATTCTGGCTACAAGATGTAAGAAAAACCAACAGCCAGGAAAATTCGGCAGTTCGGGGCATGATCCTGTGACCCTGGTCGATGTTGCATTTGTATGCTTGAGCATTTTCATGACGAGCTTGTATTTCCTCGTAAAACGCTTGCCTCAAAATCATTCCTTGGGAATGGTAAGCCATCTTTCTGCATACACACGCGTAAACATTCCTGGCAAGACCGTACATTGTACGTTAGGCCACAAACGCCGCACATATTGCTTTGATTTCCTAAATCTTCTCACCCACCCACACCCACTGGAGGGAGGGGACGGCCACTCTGAAGCATCCGTGATACGGCCTGCCATGCATGTATTTATATATATATATAAGTATATGTCCCTTTGTATTCTTTTTTAAAATATACATGAATATATACCCCTTGTCATCAACCCCCCAAACCCAAAGCCCTAAACACGGCCCAGCTAAAAAGAAGAAGTCACGCATAAACTTTGGGTACTGCCCCCACTCTGCCACTCTGTAACAGTTGGGCAATACGTATAGCCCTTACCATGACCCCTACCATAGAATGGTACTGGTTGGAGGCAGTAGCCAATCCTGTTGATACAAAAAGCCCGGTATGACTATACTACACCATAATACCATACTTCCGCATGCTTAGGGTACTTAGGCTCATGCAAGATTTTTTTGTATGCACTGTATCAATCTCCTTTGAATGGGCTTCAGGTCACTGCCTCAGGGTGAAGGTGGAGACCAGGTGCCACGGCTGCCTAGACGCTAAAAGGTTGAGGGTGTAGGTTTAGGGGGGTTTTAGGGGGTTTAGGGCATAGGGTGCCCACCCTAAACCCTAAACCCTAAACCCCAGACCACAAAAGCTTTAGGGTGTCGGGTTTAGAGGCCCCTCCAGCTCGTGCCTCAAAAAGGGTGGGGGGGATTAAGCAGTCTCTAGGATTTCAGGGAGATTGTACATGCATTATATAGAGCTGCTCTGTACTTGTATCTAGCTGCCCTTTGCCTTCAAAATAACGAGATGCAACAAGAGACCTACACCGCGTGGATTTTTCGTTTGCTAGGTGATCGGGACTGCAATCTATGTTGGCTCGGGCTAGGGCTTCGGGCTGTTCATTTGCATGCCAAGGTTTGCATGGAAGCCACGCTGTAGTAGAATCCCGAGGGCTACCAATCAGTATAGAAGAAGATATGCAGACTACATAAGCTCGCACATCCCTGCGCTTTGAATCTAAAAGCTGTAGGGCATGGAGACCTTAGCCCCGTACTGGAAAATCCAGTGGAGAAGAAAGCTGAGCATGAAATGGACGCTAGGGTTATATAGGGAAGTTGGACCCTGTCATCGAGGCCGACGACCTCTCCCAGCATGGGCCGAGGGGTGGCGCGGTGCCGCGAAAGGACGCAGAACCCTCGGAGGCCAGCACTCAGGTCTTGTGCTCACTGTCCTGCACGTGATGAGGGCTGAACGTGTACTGTGACCTTCCGATCTTTTTGATTGTTTGTTCAGTTCCCATACCTATTTTAAGGGCTGTCAAGATTGTTGTGGCTGCCATTGCGCTCATGAATGTTGTCGTTGTGCCCCATCATTCGTGTTTCAACTACCTCACTATGTGCACAACCCCGGCCACAAGAACATTGGTCAAAGAATCGCTAGAAAAACCTTAGCCTAAAGCTGCCGCAAATGCAAGCAAGACGAGTTCGCAAACCCAGCAGCAGGATGTAATTTTTGTGGTCGTCATTTATAAGTACTTCAAATTATGGTCCCCTTAAGTAGATAGAATATGGCTCTACAATGAGACCCCCATATACCCCTTTTTCTATCTACTTAAGGGGACCATATAACAGCACCTTCGGGAGCTGCCACATGTTTCGTGACCGCTGCTAGGATCCCTCGCCAGACGCACTCGGCGAACGCTTGGCTCAGGAGGGTCATGGTTGCTGAAAGAGCCAGGGCGACTTCCAAGTAAAACCGTCTTGAACCCTCATAAGGAGCGAAAATGTTTCAAGTCTTCCTGTTATGCTGCCCCTCCACTTGCTCAGCCTCATACGTTCTTTAAGGAGAGGAGATAGGTGGGGTTTGGCCACGACCTACTTGTGGCTAAGTGAAAATGACCTGCTGGCTTGGCAGGTGACCCCGATATCAGCGCCATGCCCTGTGATGGTTTGAAGGTCCAATGTTCCACCTTGGTACTACAGTGCGTAGTTTCCAACAAGCTTTGGTGCGGTTTTTCTGCTGGCAAGCCTCCAACACTCGATGTCTCAGAGCCATTTTGGCTAACCCAAAGCACCAAACTCAGCGACCTCTGCCCCACTTCCGCGACTTTTCAAGGATGCAACTTGGCTGCCTTTTCTGGGTTCGGTTCTGGTTGTCCCTGGAAAAACAAGCAGGAAGCTCAATCGGAGCGATCTTTCCCGGTAGGCAGTTCCCAAACGGGAGCTTCTGAACTAGTCCGCAAAAAAGGGAAAACTAAGGCACAGAATTCCCTACCCTAAGCCTTAAACCCTAAACCCCTACATCCTGTAGTCCCTGGGCCTTTTCTCTTGTGAGCACCAGACGGTTCGGGACCCAACCCCCCCAAATCGTTCTCCCCCAACCCGAAGCCCCAAACCCTGAACCACCTTGCGATGCTGTATGGCCATGCAAGCGGCAAAACCTTGAACCCCAAGTCTAAATCCTCCATATCCCTTCATATCTTCTACATCCTTTGTTGTCCCCATATACCTGAGGTGGGATCCACAGCCACGAATAGGGACCACAGAGGACAATGTTGTTTGTGCTAATGTAAGTTTCCAATATTTTTCCATTATTCCACTCCTGTTGAGTGGGGCCTGATCTAACGTAGATCCTCGAACCCTTTTCATCTCTCTGTCCATCGCTTCCTCTATATCCGCATAATTCCCTCGATGTCCCCATACATTCCGAAAGAATAGCCAACAAAGCCCTATTCTGCCTAAGCAGTAAGCCCTAAACCCTAAACTCTTTTTTCCTTCAAGAGTAAACTCACTAAACCCTGAACCTTTACATCCCTAAAGGGTACAGCCGAGGCAATTTCGGCCCCCGCCGGGCCTGGAAGGCTACGGCCAGGGGCGGCCTCCTACACCACTGGGGCCAGAGCAGAAGGGGAAGGGGCTTCTTGGGGCGAAGTTTTGAAGCTTTTGCTGGCGGAGGGTCTTTGGGTGCATATGAGAGCATCCTGTAGCTTTCAGCTCGAAATCTATACCTTGTAAGGCTCTTGAGAGGTTCCCTAGCTACCGACGCTGCCCTGGAGCCACCTAAGGATCCTGTTGCCAAAAGAACTCCTACACCCTAAAGCCCGAACACTTCTAATCTAAGCCCCAAACACCAAAAACCCTCAAACCTTAAGTATCAAAACCCAGTCCCAAGCCCCTAAAACCTACACCCCTGTCAAAGAAGGCTCAAGGGAGCTCTGCCGAACCTGCTGCTCCGGCGCCAGTCGCCTGATAAGGAGACCGAAAGGCGGCATAAGAAAGGGAGATGTCTTGGGCGTGGTGTTTTGGGGGTTTGGGGGATTCTAGATATAGGGTATATAGTAGGTATATAATCTAACGACTTTTGGAGGGACCCCTAATAGGGACCCTTGTAGCTTATGGGTCTTAATATGGGGACTACCTAGGGATATAGGGGTTATGTAATGATTATATACGGCTTATATATAGGGTCCCTGTTAGGGGTCCCTCCTAAAGTCCCTAGATATAAGGATCCTAGGGTTAAGGGTCCCTACCAGGTTTTGGGGTTTTGGCATTTGTATTTTCGGGTTTTGGATTCCTTCCAGGCCTTGAACCGTGCTTCCGTCACATTGCAGGGCACCTTTATAAAGTGTCCCATTGGGCATCCGGGGCCTGTTGTCAGCTTCAGCACTTTCTTCTCTGATGCGGGAGGTTCCCAGGGAAATGAACCCTTTCCGAGGAAAGCAAAGGGCGCCCCAGGCTCCCTATGTATTGCAGAGGGGCCCGAGAAACACTGAATAAACAGTGCAAAAGGCCCTTGCGAATCTGGCATCCGCATGGGTTCGAAGGCTGAGGGAGTTGGACGTGGCCCAAGAATCATCTTGTTTTTAGCATGTACGTTGCTTGCAAGCTTTTCCCGTTTGCGTGACTGAAAGGCCTAAATGCATGAGCAATCTACGGCGTTTGGTATGACTAGTCAAACATGAGTGGGGTCGCTCTGGAGACGTCCGGGATTCGATGCCTAAACTCCAATGCTAACCTCCGACCAATCAAACCAGCACCTTTGTAAATGCCTTGCTGTAATACCTGTCTCAGCGCGCGCTGTGGTCAGGAAGGGGGTCAATCTCGCTGAGATGCTCGAAACGGCAGAGGGCGCAGAGACTTCGGTTGTAAAAGCGGCCCCAAAAGCATGCTTTTTTGCTCGCCGTTGCAGTCATCAAGTTGACATGCAAGGCGCAAGGCATAGAAGAAGTATGAAGCCCCCATTACATGTGATTCTGAAATTGTGTCGCCTGAAACGTCGTTGGCCGTGTACCCCCGCAAAAGCACCCCTCCTGAAAACTTTTCGTTGTGGCTGTCAAAGATTTTTTGCATCCTGCAAGCCTAAACCCCAACATAAGGCGTATCGGCACCAGTTTGCACGCCAGCAAGTGCACGTTTTTCACCAGGCCATTTTGGCCACACCGCACTCCCCTAAGGGGAATTCCTTTGCAGCCATGTCGGAGGCGCCCTCAGGTCACCTCAGCCTCGAGCAGTTCAGGAGCCGCGTGGAAGCGAAGCCCGTATATGGTGCTCGCACCCAGCTGTACTTTGAGTCTCAAGGTGCACGCAAGAGGTCAGCACCGACACCGGCAGTGAGCTCCCAGGCCGCACCGCAGGAGGTTAACGACGCGGCTGCGGCGAGCAGCGCCACCGGACCGGAGACGACGACGCAAGGTTTTGTCGTGCAAGGTCCACACCTGGAGGACCACACCGCCTACCAGATTACAGCTGGGCACATGGGGAAGGACGTGAACAACCCCCATGAGGTGGAGGCCTTCCTTAACTCAAAGGTGGCAACTGCTCGAGACGTCCTTCGACTGGTCAAGAATTACCACGAAGCCATCATAAGGCCAGAGCTATATGGTGCAGTGGTACAGTTGGAAAGTGCCATGGGAAAAATGATTGACCGGCTCTTCACAACGCAAGCGGAGCTGAGGTTCATGGCAAGCGACAACCGCCAGCAACAGAAGGCGGAAAGTGGACTGAAGATTCTGTTGACAGGGTGGCCCGTGACCATGCCGCCCCAGGGAAGAGCGTACATGATCGGCTGGATGCTGAGTCAGGTGCCGGAGATCCGACAGCTCATGGTGAACCGAGCCCTGCTCCCTCCTGATGCCGACCACACCGCCTACACCCTGCAGTTCTGGTACCACGTGCTGTCGATTGAGCCTACTACGGTTCCCCAGGGCCCAAATTTTTCAACTATGACCATGTTGAAAAAAAGCTTGGGATGTCCGTTCTGCTTTCCTCAACAGATACGGAGGCAGTTCAGGGACCCCACTTTACAGTGACCCTAATACCCCTGTGGGAGGAAAGCGCATTAGGGTCACTGCGGCCACTCCGCAATTTCAGCGCAAGTTAGAAGCGCCTCTGAGAGTTTTGATCCAGGTGTGCAATGCACATCAGGATACCTCAGAGAAGAGATTGACTATTCTCTGGAAATCACTCACACTCATGGCGCCAAGCTCTTCCCCTGATTTTGACCACGACGCCAAAGCGTGGGCACGTCCTTTTTTTATGAAGAGCATGAGGGAAGTTTTAAAGGCAGACTTGAGGTGAGTCCAGAGATGTCAGCCATCATGATGAGTCCTCCGCAGGACCCAGAGAACAAAGAGGAAACTCTCTGGGTCCAAAAGTGGAATGAAGTTATTTGGGGCAGCCAGTGGGTCTATGACCAGCTAGACCACACCGCCTACCAAGAGGCCAAAAATCAGGCCAAAGCCTCAGGAAGAGGAATTTCATATGGTGGTGGTCGCAAGCACTGGTCCAACATGCTCCTGCATAATAGCTTCTACAGCCCCTACCCATTTGATTTAGATCTTGTCCAGGCAGAAGCTGTAGCGTTTAGTTGGGACGAGTTTTGCATGAAGTCTGGTGTCCCCAATGAAGCTGTGGGGGACACCAAAATGTGCACTTTTCAGGAAAAACCTGGTGCACCCATTGTTGGTCCCAACCTAGAGTCTGAGGGTGACACGGAGATGGGCGATCAGACCATGCCGCCTCCAGCAGCACCTTCACAGGGCTTTCAAAAAGCACCTGCGCCAGCCCCAGGAAGGGGTAAGAGCCAGGGTAGGGGCAAGGGCCATCAGGGTGCCAAAGGCTCCTGATGGGCTCCAATTCGAAAGGATTTGAGAAGCTGCCTCATTCCTTTCAAACACTTTACTTGTTTCATTTCTATCACCAATGGCAGGTACTCATCTCCAGTCATAATGACCAAAGCCCATTTGAAATTTTATCAAGGCCTGGCTTTGCATTATGGCCACACCGCCACAGCTCCAGCTCAAATTGGAGGACCTTTGACATTTTTCAATCCTGAGAAGCTGGGCAATGGTGTGCATAGTTTTCTCAGCCTCGCAGCTTACATGCAGCAGATTTCTTTGTGTACAAAATTCAAGAACCTGTTTGGTCTCTCAGCCCAGGCCACGCCTCAAACCCCAGGGTTCAACCTAGTACTTCAAGTAAGTAGAAATAAGTTGATGCATGCCCTCCATGGTAATACGGTTTCTACACTACTCTTAGACTATTTGGTTCCGATGCCCACCCCCATTCAAATTAGTAGAGAAGTTTTGTTGAGAAGTAGGCTTCCACCTCCTCCGGGACTGACTCCTCAACCTCTACTGCCTATTACTATTTCGACCACACCGCCTTCCGTTGAACATTCTGATACAGTCATATCTAGGAACAAGCGAACAGGGAGAAGAAGAAGAAGAGTAGATGATAAAGGTGTTTCACACTTTTTTAAAACCCGGAAATCTCGCTTCTTTAGGAACCAGAGATCTAGAATTCAAAGGAATTTACAGAATTCGAGCTATACCGCTGATGCTTCGATCTCCGCCTCCGAGAGGCACGCCGGGAGCCCGTTTCGGGCGAACGAAGAGAGACCCCGCCATAGGGGAGGTGTCAATGGCACCCTGTTGGGGGCCAGCAAAAGGCGAAATTGCCGCCGGGCATATCGCCGCTGGCGCAGGGAAACCAAACAACACGTGCCAGCGGGGGCGGACACCCTTCTGGCCACACCTCCCCTGTCCACAAAAGTCACCCAGAACAACACAACAAGATTCAGGAGAGAGATTGCATGGCAGGAGCATATCGAGAGAAAGAAGAAGCCGACT